AGGTGTCACATGTCACACATTGTTTGGGCATGATCTCTGTTATTGTGAGCTGCTATTGGCATATTCCTCTTACTTCTGAGGCCACCGAGATGAGCTGCCCCATGTGGTCGAATGTTTTAATGTATGGATTTCAGGGCATGATAAAATATGCATGGACTCATTTATTTTGAAAGAAATATTAAAATCTGTAAGTACACTCCATGAATGTATGTTCCATCTTTGGTGGATTAGGATAATGTGCGGATGGGATAAAGGCTAATACGGGGAATTTTCAGAGAAAATTCAGCCAAGCAGACATCTTTTTTCTAGTGCAGTTGGGAAGTAAGACAATAATCTCAAGAACCTCCTTGGGAAATATCTTCTGAGAAATCTCAGCTTGGCTCTAGTTGACACCCTTCTAGATAGTGCCATCCCGAGACAGTTGATTATCAAAAGATGAGAGTAACTGGAAGCTCTGATCTCATCATTTGAGATGCCAGTTCCTGCCAGCAGTTATCGCCCCCTCTCACGATGCCATCTGAAACAGGTGGCTTCCCCAGGACTGCACTGACAGGACCAGCTTTCCTTTTAATTTAATTCTTTACTTGCTCCCATACAAAGTTGTAGTAAGAAAGTAGTAGTAGCAACTCACCTCCCCACCCCCTTTCTTTTTCTTGATTTACCTGGATTGGTTTTGGAAGGGGATGTATAATCAGTACAGATTGGTTTTGTCATATATATGTAATACAATCTGGAATCAGTCATTTCCAGATGTCCCCTGAAATTTGAAAGAAGGTGGCTTGTTTTGTGGAACTAATGCTATTCTCACTTCTACGGTGATCTTTTAATTAGAGTTGACATCCTATCTGTCTTTCTATCAAAAAGCAACTGTGTACCACAGCATAAGCTTTCCTTATGTTATATAATGGATCACTTAGGAGAGCTGGTGTGCTCCTTTTGTATTGCATGCCTTCAGTCATATAGCAAAGATACTCTGTCTCTGATGTGGAGAACATATAAGGGGGCATCTTCTTCATCCACTCTATGACCGGTCTGGTAAATGCTTGTATTTTTTTTCCTTTTTCCTTTTTTCCTTCTTCTTCCTCTTCCTTTACAAGCCCAGCTTCTAGTGGAAACAGACACATTTGGCAGTCAAGTCCGGATCAAAGGGAAAGAGACAGACTTTTACCTTTGCATGAACAGGAAAGGCAAGCTAGTAGGGAAGGTAAGTGTTTTCTATTAATTCATTTGTAATATGAGTGTTACCTTTAGCAGTGACTGTGAACTCCCATAATGATGTGTTCTGAACTTTGCCTGTCAACCCCAAATGAAAAGCAGGACTTGAGGAATGTGGAATTCTTCAAGCATTCATGCTTTTACTTAAAAAAAGAAAAAAAAAAGAAAAAAAAAGAAACCCCCTAACTCATAAAATTAAGTACTGTGGCTAACCACTGGGGTTTTATTACTGATTTCTCTGGGTACATGCAGGTTTCCATTTTACAGTTGCATAAATTGTTAAAAGATGTGCGTCTCTCGTTCTCTCTCCAAAACAATTGGGAGTTTGCATTACATGATAGAAATCTCTCTTACCTTGGTGGTTTAAACAGGCAGAAACAGAAAACTGCAGAAACATTTTGAGATGTTAGACAATGGGGTATCACTCTTAAAATAAGAACCGTTTAAATGGAATGCTATTGCAGTCTTTAGATCTTATTGGGGATCGGCTTTATGCTTCTTACATTACAAGACTATTTCATTACCTTTGATCTTCACACACTCACAGTGGAAGCATGCAATGAATTGTACAACATTTGCCCATGCAATAGTTTCTTAGCTGCAAGCTTCAGATTAAAATGAATTCTATTACTTTTTAGGGATAGTTCCCACCCATGTTTTGCTCTTGTTGGTTTGTTTGTGTCACACTTTTGGCAAGCTTGGAGTGTGACACAGGCAGGGAACAGGCAATTCAGACAGCAGAGGTTTTAGAAAGGACCTTCCCTGCGTCCCTTCCAGAATTAACTCTTACATTGGCATCAGAATTTTTTGGGTGGGAGGAACCTAAGTGTTTGGTGGTGGGAGACAGTGTGAATTTAGTTTAGAGAAAACAGAGTTGTAGGTCTGCAAGCCACGTTCTCAAATAAAAACCAGGTGCAGAAAGATAGGTTATTTAGTTTTGAGCAAACTTCTGTGTGAATCGTGCCTTCAAATATGGGAACCCCTGCCATTTCTCCTGATGTCTGTTGGACTGTCAGAGCCACTTTGAAGAGGCAGTGACCAACAACACAAAAGGATTTTTACAGGTGCTCCTTTATTTCTTGGTAATGTTGGAAGCATTCAGAGAATAAACTGAGTGTTTTGTTTGTCTACACACTGAATAGATAACACTGCTTCTCTGTTGACTAGGAAAACTAGCATTAGAAACAAATTGTCAAGGAATACTTCTATTCACAGTAGCAGATTTTTTAAGCTGATAAAGGTGATATTACTGGATCAGGAGATCATCATTTAGCAACAATGGTAGTACAAAATAGTGATTATTATCAGATTAGGATGGAGAGATCCAGCTTCAGATTGACATTTAGCCATCTAGAAATCTTCAACTGTTCACTGACTCTCAACCTGATCTACTTCTCAAGGATGCTGTAAGAGTAGAGAGGGAAAGGATGAAATCTGTATACTGCCTGGTTTTCTTGCAGGAATGGAAGAGTATAAATTAATAAAAAAAAGAATACAGTAATTATTTGAAAAATCATTTCTATCCCACTATTCAAATAATTATTGGATTATTATGAATAAAAAATAATACTTCATGTCATGTGTTTAATGTACAAAGCACCACATGCATTATAATTTTTCCAATAGTTCTTAAAGGTAGATCTGTATTGTTTGTTATTCGAATATTCCAGATGGAACGGGGAAGATTGCCACTGAGAGAGACTTGCCTAATGACATGTAACAAAATCACATAAGGGGTGAAACTTGCACCAGGGACTTCTGAGGTTGCAGTCTTATAAATCACTGGGCTGCATCAGATCTCATCTGTACCAATTAGTGCTATTACCTTACCATTCTTACTCTATTTGCATATGTAAGGTCAGAAAAGAAATACCCCTCCTAAGTGAACAGTTGGGCTGCAATAACTGCCCAGAGTCACTGGGAGTCAGGTGGCATGCACATTTAGTTTTTATTATTAATATTAATTAATATTTTAATATTCCTGCAACCTTGTTCACTGGTCAGGCTGGCAGGAGGAGATGGGAATTTTAGTCCAACCTATCAAGGCTACTGGTTGGAGGATGGTGGTTTAGCTGTCTCTATAGCTTCTGAAAGCTTTTGACATAGAAATAATTTATTTTTCATTCAAACTTTAACAGGAGACTTATTTTATTCATAGATTTCTTCTATTTTTTAAAAAAATGGTGTTAGACTATCAACCTATAAACTAGTATTTTGTTTGCATGTGTGTGTCTATAACCTCATTGTAAAATATCACCTTTGATTCTTATCCTGGCCTTCCTTTTTTTGCCCCAATTTCTGACATGTTGAACAGATAGATTGGCTTGATCAAAAGGGAAACTGTATGAACATTCTGTTATAGAAACATACTTCTCCAGTCAAGTTGCATTGCCCATATTAATAGCATCTTAAGGCACTTGGGGTGGAGGTAGGTGGGGGAAGACACAAAACAAGAAAAAAATGTTAGTGATACTGAATGTCATGTTCATCATTAATATCCTAGCTTCAGCTTTTTTTCTGGCAATAACTTGAGTAACTGCATTTTTAATATACTCAACAGCCAGTAAAGCTCACAATACATCTTTGTGCCTGGGTTAAGATACAGATATTTAAGTCCACTCTGGGAGGGAAGAATCCCATTAAGTTCACTTGCCAGTAATGAAACTGATTCCTTTCCTATTGACTTACTCATCATAACTCTTTACTATACCAGCATGTGCCATCTGGCTTCCTTCTCTTTCCCAGTGAACATCTTTGGATTCTTCCCCAGCTGAAAACCTGGTTTGAGCTTTGAAGTCTTGGTTTCCTATTGTCGTCTACAAAGGGCATTACAAATAAGAGCAGGGGAGTCTGACTAGGGCCAGGTTTTTGAGAAACGGGATGAGTTACCTGCCTTGTGATTTGTTAGGCAAGGTACCTTCGCAAGTGGCATTCATCTCCAGACCTAAGAAGAATGAGCTTCTCCATCTTTCCTTCATCAAAGCTAAATTACATCTCCACCAGTTCTCCTGTGCCAAGGCTTCCAGCGGAGTTTTTTTTCAAGATCTCGGAATGCAGTCTTCCTGGAATTTGCTCTCATTCTCTGTCTTTCTCTCTCCCACACACAACACACACTTTTTTTTCTTGTTCATTATTGTTTGTCACTTCACAGCTCAATTTGCCCATGATGTTATGAACAGGATTCTAAATCTGTTTATTGTATGTTTGTGTTCTGTGCATATACACAGCTGGTCTACATTAACAAAAAATGTAGCCAAATCAGCCAACGTAGCAAATACAGTGAGTGTAGACAAGGCTAATAGTTTTAAACATGAGCAGGCTAGTCAAGGTCAAGTCTAAATTTCATGCATTTTACTCCAACTTCAGTGGAGGTGAGCCTGTCTTCACTAGCTATTCCCTTTCTTTGATACTAAAACAGGCTTTTGTTCTTTTTTTATGTTGAAATTTGCTCTTTTGATCACTGCACAGATAACATAAAATATGCAACAATAATGATGATGATGATGTATAATAATAGAGTCTGTTCATCTTCCACCGTTCAGAGGCAGTTGTGCAAAATGCCCCAAAGCTGTTTTTTTTAGCATCCCAGGAATCTCTATTATTCCCTGAATTTGGCTTCTGAACCACATTTTTTTTTTTTTAACTTGTCAAAAGTACGTCCAGCATTAGGCCCAATGTCAGGTTTACTGATGTTCATATCATATAGCTGTTTGCATATTCAGTGCAATCAGTTTTTCTCTGTTCACGTAAGAGCATCTTTCATTGTTTCATCCTATACAGGATGAAGGTTTCGGCAGTATCTGGGTATTCCAAAGCTTCTGATGGATCCCTCTTCCAATTACAGGTTTTAATGTTCAATTTCTAGACATTTAGTGATTGTTATTAAAAATAACACTAATGACAGTAACATGACAGTGGTGCAAACAATAAAAAAATACAAACAATGGAACTCAGCTTTAGACATATAATCTTTAGAGTTGTGGCTTCTCTGAGCAATTAGAGTGCAGTGGATTACAATTCTCAATCATCATTTGCATGGTAAATAACCTCTCAGTTGCACATAAATCAGTGAGATCATTTCCAGTAAGTCTAAGATCTATACTGGCATGAAGTCTGTCTTCATATTCTTCGAAGGAAGTGGTGGCCAGCTGTGCTCCAAGGAGATGGTCTTGGATAGCCCTAATCTTAACACATTGCTTGGCTCATGGACCATTGTTATTTAAAATCCCAAGTCTGGTTCCTGGTTTCTTCAGAACCTTAGAATTGGGAAAAGGGCCCTCTCTCTCTTAGCATTTAGGAGAGGTGCTGCTAATCAATATGGATGGGACTAAGGCTAGAAGGGCCAGTGTGAATCTCAGTTTGAGCTATATGAGCAAGACTTTCCCATGGAATGCTGGTGGCAAAATGTAGCCATTTTGCAATGTGGTAATCAGGAATTTCCTGCTGGAAAGACAGGAATTAACACACATAGACCATGCAAACGTTTTTATAGTATTTCCAGTTTGGTGTAAAACAGTTTTCTGCAGTCAGGATGACCTCCAGATTGATGGGGTTCAGTTTCCAGAGTTCCCCAGCCATCATAACCATTGTGGGAATTCTGCAAGTTTATCTGCCAGTTTGGAGGGTGCCTTGCTGCCTGAAGTTTTACTTGATGATTATAAATTAGCTGTGTGGAAACTACATGGGAATACTGACCTGCTGAATAGAATTATTTAACCCTGCCTTCCTACAATCCACAATATCTCATGAACATAAGTGGAAAATGTTCATGAGAAGTTTTGTTCATAAAATAACTGTGGCTATCCAGAAAGAGTAGGACAATAGGCCTTTTATAGCTTAGAGTACCTGCAATCCTACAGTTGTTATATGACAAATTATAAAAGTTGAAGTAGATAAAACCTTTCATCATCACACTGTCAAGCAAGTTTAAGAAAGGATTGCAGGGTACCCATAATAACTCTTTGAAAATGTGATGTTAGATTATGCCAG